TTTGAAGGGCGGACTCCATAGCACTGCACCCTGTTGAGGTCCCTCCCCTCCCCTCCCCAAACCCCACCCTCTCCTGGATCCACCCCCAAAGTCTCCAAGTATTTTCCAGCCAAGAGCTGACAACCCTAAAATTGCACCTCCTTAATCTCTTTCAATACCTTTTTGGACACTTTGAGGTGCTAAAAGTGTCAGTTCCTGAGTACACAGTGGTGTAAGGAAAAGAGCTGACAACCCTAAAATTGCACCTCCTTAATCTCTTTCAATACCTTTTTGGACACTTTGAGGTGCTAAAAGTGTCAGTTCCTGAGTACACAGTGGTGTAAGGAAATGGGTCTAGCTCCAAAGCAATTATTTGGAAATAGAAGGCACAAATTTGTTTGGGAAATTTTCTCCCAAGGGACATATCATTTAAAGAAGATGATGGGAGCATTTGCTAGTGAAAGGGATGCTAGACGTTTCATCTGCCCTCACCCCACCCCCGTTTCTCTTGGCCTAAATTACTTCCGATTTTGCAGCCCAACCAGGAGAGAAACAGCTGGGGTGAAGCATTTTCAGGCGTTAGGGTTCAACACTCTGAATGCTCCCTCCCGGTTTCATATCAAAGTTGCGGTGACTTGATTGTCACACACAGAAGTGCCCCGTCTTGACCTTCTTCATGGAGTCGTTAGGATGATAATTCTACAATGGTGAAGCACGTGGTGCGCTGAAGAGTAATTTTTTAAAAATGTAATCCTTAATGTGATTCTAGTACTTTGGAGACAGGCTGATCGTTTGGCCAAGGCAAGGGCTACGCTGGCTTTGCAGAGTTGGCAGATGGGATTCCTCGCTACATAAGCTCCCGTCCCTGTCCTGAGACAGACAAAGCAGCCCGCGACTCTCGGGACGGAGACCTTCACCTTCTTTGACCCCAGCAAAGCCGATTGTATTGCGTATTGTCAATCAGCTGATGACGACACATCCGAAGTCCCGCCCCCAAGTATTATTCCGACAACGCGCCAGTCACCCTTCATCTCTCTCGCGGTGGGGTAGCCCCGCCTCTTTGGAGAAAAAAAGGAGGCGGAATCAACTATAGCGCCCACCCTCTGCGAGCTTCGATTGGTGAGGAAGGTGGTCGTGGCGTCACGATTGGCCTTCATTCCGGCCTCTCAGTAATCAGCCCTGCTGGGTGGTGCGGGTGGCTGCCGTGCTCGAAGTCCCTCTGTCAGTCTCTTTCTTTCTTTGCCCTCCACTTTTGTTGGCTCGCCTGAGCGAGCGGAGAAACGAAGAGTCGCTCCGTTAGGAGCGAGACGAGCCGGAGTCGCGCTAGCTACGGAAGGGGGTGAGCCTGGTTCTTGGCGCTGAGGGAACTTTTTGTTTTCTGATGAATCCCCCCCCTCCCTCCCCGTTGCTTGGGACAGTTGGAACCGACGGTTGAGTAACGGCTGTTGGCAGAGAGCGGCGAGTTTATTTCTCCTGGCGAGTTCGAAGGTTTGAGTCGCTTCCCTCTCGGTACCCCCTCCTCGTTTCGGAGAGTGAACCGTGAAGCGGGGTTCACGCTGCTGTCCCCTAGTCCCGACCCGCGGAGACTACCGGAGGGGGGCGGGGCGGGCGAAAGGAGGGGGCCCGTTATCATTGGAGCCCCTTTGTGCTTGCGGGCAAGTCAGTGTGTGGGCGTGCCGTGCCTGCGTGCGTGTGTAGAAGGCAGCGAGTGTCGGAATGCCGATGCACAAGCTTCAGCTTTCGCCTGCTTGAGGCTCCGGCCAGAGGTCGGCTTGGGATAGCGTGCCTTTTTAGCAACTCCTTGTATGGACTCGCCTTGTTACGCCGCAGTCTGTCTTTTTTTCTGCATAATTAACGCGAGAGCTAGCCCCGTTGCAGCCTGTGAGTCCGTAGGGAAGCGGGCTGCACGTGTCCAAGCTTAGCCGAGCCTGTGCGGAACATCGGCAGTTCCTCGTCGGATACAGTTTCCACCGAGAAGAGGCTGGCCCACAGCTAGCAGTCATAATAACTGGCGTGGATTTTATTTTTCCTGACGCCGGTCCTATTTTTCTGCGTCGTCCTATCCGTCCCCCCTCCATTTTAATAGTCTACCCCCCAAAGTACTTAGTATTTGAGTATAGGCACCATAATTCCTTTTTTAAAAAAAGTGTTGCATCGGGCCATGAAAGTTACTTGGCTTTGAAGGTTGAAAATTCACAGTTAGAAAATTCCGTGTGACTTGGTCGCCTTCCAAGCCGACTAAAGGAAGACCGTGGAATTACTGGCATGGAAATTCTTCGGACCTTTAGCTATTACTAAAGTGGATAACTGTAAAACTAATTTTTAGTGCCTGGAAGTAATTTCTTTCTAACAGTACTACATTCACCAGCAGTAAGACAAAAATGTGCTGTCACTGTATCATCAGTCATTTTATGGTAATAGGAATTTGCAACTTTAACAGTAAGGATCATTTCAGGTATTTTCATGTATCCTGTGAAATTAACACATTAAAATGGTTGCACAATTGAAATGGATTTTGAAATTTGTTCTGACGTATTCTTGCTTTTTCACATTTGAATGCTTAACAGCTTTTGTATGTGTTGAAGCCTGTAACTTGAAATTTGGTGTTGATATTGTTCTCATGATATATAGATTACTTTTCTCTAACCTCTTTATTAATTTCAGTATGCTCATGTAGGTATGTTCTGAGCTGTGTTCTTTAAGCCTCTGTGTAGGCAGAAATCTGTGCCCATATATTTTAGCCTCCTTATACAATGTTGCGATCTTGGATACTTGCCCAGAAAAGTCATTGTGGGAAACTTAAACTTGAAAACACATTCTTTTTCATTCTGCCTTGAAATGTTCTCCGTTGAAATATATAGGTCAAATCAAAGGTAGACTGAATTGATAGTTTTTTAAATGGCTACTTGACACCCCCCTGTATATTCACTTAAACTATAGTTAACACACGCATGAAAGGCAAAGTATGATATTTATGAAGTAGGTTTCCGTATAATGCTGATTCTTTGGTGATAGCATGGCAGCCCTCTTATATAAGGTGTTGCCATAAATGAGCACTCTGGAATTTTTTAAAGGAACTTAGTTTTATGCAACTTCCAGAGTGTGTGTTCTGTAAAGTATGCATGTAAATGAAATATTTTAATGAATATATAGTTGAATTCACTTCTCTGAGGCATTCCTAAAAATACTCTGCCAACAGCATTTTCTTGTCTGCTTCTTGAGATTGTTTGGAAATTACATTTGGTCCACAGTGGAGTCACTATAATTTTAACTGTTGCCTACATACTCCAGTGGGTACTAGGAGGCCCACATGCAGAACCTGTAGGTCACAGGGTATCCAGGAGAGGATTTGAGGTCCAGTGATTATCCAGAGAAAATGTTCAGATCACTGCACACACTATGTTTGTACAGTTGACTGTGTGGAGGGCACATACTTTCTATAAGAAATGAGATGGGAATCAGGGTTAAAAAATAGAACTAAAAGTGCAAGCAGTCAGGAGACTTTTAATTTAGAGGCAGCAGGCAAGACACTAGGTCCCATCCATGGGGAGATAATGAGGTGCCTCACTTCCAGTCTGCAATAGCTTTTGTAGACAGAAGAGTGTTGTGCCATGGTAGATGTACTATTCTGGATTATCTTTGAGCTCTGCCAGGACAGGAGGATTTAGAAGTGATTTTACCCCTGCTAGTGGGCATACATTCTGGATGTTGGGCTATATATAGACACTGAGAGCAAACTGGAGTTTATTATTAATATGAGACTGATCTATTTTCAAGCTCACATGATCCCTCCTTCCTTTTGTGTGAGACCTGAAACTGAAAACTTTTTGGATTAAGAAGCACTTGATTGAACCTTCGTTTGTTGTGCCATTGTGTCAACATATTAAGGCTGGTTTCTTACCCACAAACCAATTTGTGATCCTGTGCGGAGTTCTTCTAGTCAAACTGACTGAAGTCATACTGTGCATGGCATTGTACTTTTAGTCTTACAGTCTTTTTATTTACTATAGGAATAGATGTGAAAATGGTTTGAAGTATGAAACTTTTCTTGAAACCTACTATTGTAGTCTATTTCAGTGTAACTTACTTGCATAAAAGCATTTTGTGCTTGTTAATGTTTGCTTCTGTGAACTTAGTAAATGATGTTATGGGCAACTGAAGTATGGAACTGGTAGACTTACCACTGACTAACTGCTGCATAACTAACTTCGGAATGCTTGTTGTCCTAGGTTTAATTTTTTTGACCGTTTCCCCCAGATTTGCTTCCCTTGGTGCCCTCATTCATAGAGTGTTCTGGTTCCTGCTATAATTATAGTGCCAGCCATAACGTATCATGCAAAACTAATAATTACGTGGTCGTTTCCTGTTTATATTAGTATAGACACTCTTATTTGCCTTGAATTCATTTCAGTTAATGTATTAAAGTTGACTCTTTAAAGGAATATATTCAGTCAAATGAAAATTTCAACAAAGCAACCCCATTCTATATAGGGTTGGTTTTTTAAAGCTTATTGTATATAAAACTGTTTCACATACAACTTTGACAAGTTAAAATATCAACATGAAAAATGTATGTTTTACTTATAAAACTTGGACCAGAATGTTTTTAGTTTGGAACTATTGCTGTCTTCAATCACTATTTGACTTTCCATTTCTAAGCAAAACTGTAAAGATTTTTCTGACTTCATTTACGTTTTATTATACCCTTTAAATGTTACATTTAACTGCTGGTTGCTCTATTTTTGTTACTTGGAAGCTTTAATCATGGAAGGGCATTTCTAGTACTTTACAAATATATAAAGTGACCACTCGATTACAGTCTTTGAATTGCAAATCCTTTTGGAGTCATAATTTATCTGTCTAAGAATCTAAAAGATGTTTTTAAGTTGTTTTGACCAAGGGTTTAATATTATGAATAGCACCCATGAATATTAAAAAGTGTATCACATCAGTTATGTTGTGATGAAATTATTCTAGGACTAAGATAATTGGTTGTTAAGCATTAAATCTATTAGAGTTAGTATGTACAAGAAGGGGAACCCGTGATACAAGAAGGGGGGAGTTCCACGTGGAGGAGAAGGAAGTAGCCGCAGGTGAGCCTTCTCCCCTTCTCCCTCTGAGGTGGAGGACATCTTGTGGGTGATTCCCATCCATCACTTAGGGAGGCAGGACTAATTTCAATTACTTCCTGTTTCCTGTAGTGGGAGTCACCCTAGGCTCAGTTCTTTTCCTGCCTCAGAAGGGAGAGCAGCTAGGTGTAGGCTCTGCCTAACCCTATCTTTCTGAGTTAACTTACTTTCACTTTCTCCTTCCATCTTTGCTGTTCCCTCTCTCTGAAGAAACTTAAGAAAAATCAAATCCTTTTCTTCTTCCTTCCCATATGTTATCCTCTTTTCTCTCCCCCCCACTTATTTAGATATCCGCACGCAGGGGGCACCTTGGCTATTAGTTATATAGATATTGTGTAAGTAGAAATAAAAATATGGAAACTATATGAAGTAAAAGGCATTTTGTTGATGCCTCAGATATGGATAAAAACACATTACACATATGTGCTTGTCTGGTACTGTGCATTTGGAAACTTTTGCTAAGTTTGCAGTTTCATTTTTTAAAGCTCAGCTAATTTGTTTTGCCGATTCCTATAATTGATTCTTTACTAACACTCTGAGATACTGGTTAAGATCAGTTATTCTTTTTGGTCAGTATTGTACAAACATGACTCCAAGAGAGTACTTCCAAAATGAGTGAATTTTGTGGTCAGCTTATGTGTATATTTTATGTATTGTAATTGAGATTTGATGACTGATTGTGGAAGAAACCTTTTTTTGTCTTAGAATGCACTTAATGGCCTTCTTTATAAGAGCCATGGGGGAAGAAACCTTTTTTGTCTTAGAATGCACTCTAGCTTTCAAAAACATACATTCTCATTTATTTCTGCAGTTCAGTATTTCACAGTTGTCTTTATTTGAGAATTGCCTTATGAATGAGCATGGTATGGTTCAGAGACAACAGTAAACTGGTTTGTCATTCTCTGAATGAGCTTAGGGGGTCCTCTGGCTTGTTAAAAAACTTCTAATTATTTTGTTTGATCTACAAACTTTTTTTTATTATTGTCCCTTCCAAATAAAGATTCAAATAATGAGGTGAATCCTAGTTTGGAGGGAAGAGAACAAAACATAGATTGTGGTTTTAGATAAAATGAATTTTCCATATCAAAATCTCTTCCATGTTACCAGGTAAGGAAGCTTTACAAATTTTACTTTTAGGCCTACAAGAGAGTAACACGGGTATATGTGGCTAAACAGGCTATTAACTAAAAATATTGTGGGCTTATTTGTA